TCTCAGGGGCTTGTCTGCATCTGGCAGGCTCTGAGAACTGGTCCAGCCATGGGGAGAAGGGGAAGGAAGCTGCTGTCTGTTTCCTGGCTTTAGGTTTTTATGTCTTGTCTCTTCTCAAGCTCCCATGTTTTCCCGAAATCCCATAGTGAGTTGCCAAATTTGAAATGCATCAACCTGTTCTCTGCATCTGGGGTCAGTCAAGCAGTGGCCATTGTTCAAACAAGTTCTGTGTGCATGTAAAATATATACATATATACATATATATGCGTATGTGCATGGTGGACATGTATATCTTCGTACTTTTGATACAATGTATTCCTTATTTGTTAATTTTTAATTATATTTGATATAAATTGAAGGTTTGTTGCAAAACTTTATATTTAAGAACAGTGTTTAAAAAAAGACAAGTCCCAACCATGCAACACAACTGGGACTTACTTAAAAAGAAAATTCTGTGATTGACTAGTTTGCTGCTTGAGTGATATTTATCAGCCAAACTTTGAATTCTGCTATTGTTTCTACAATGACATTTTGTATGAAGCAAAGTCCTTGGATTAAAATAAAAACTTAGCAAAAAACTCAAAAACAAAACCTCCCCAGGCTGCTGGGTGCTATGCATCAGAGGTGGGGACTCGGAGGTGGGCAGCGACTCCAGGGACAGTACCATCTTGGTGGTGGGTCATATGGGCAAGTGTGGGCGCGCTAGGTGGGAGGTCGGTAGAAAAGCAGGATGAGGAGCTTGTCTGTAGGTCTGTTTCCACCACAAGACTGGGATCCAATGGAGAACTGGGGTCATGTCACTGGCAAAGGCCACTCGCTCAACTGGGAAGCAGAGCAGCAGTTCGAACAGGCAGCTGCTCCCCCTGAAAAAGACGAGGCTCCCTGCCCCAGGAAAGATGTCCTGTTGCCTTTGTCCTTGTTGTCATTAGGTGCTGTTCTGTCGGTTCCTACTCAGAATGATCAGGGACAACAGATCACGGACAGCTGCCTGTCTTTTCTCCCACGTTGGGCTCAAGCCGCTAACCACAGTGCCACCAGGGCTCTGGAAGGGGCCAGGGTGGGTCCACAGCTCATTTTATGGTCAGGTGCCCTCGAGTCCCTTCCGACTCACAGCGACCCCACGTGACAGTACAGCAGCCCTACGTGACACCATAGATTGTCACCTTTAAGGATGGTGATCACCTGGTCTTGCTTCAGCGGGACTGTTGGCAGGCTTGAACAAGTGACCGTCAGTCAGCGGGTGAGCACTTAACTGCTGCCCCGCCGGGAATCCTGAGATGCTCCCCACTCGGGAGCCCCAAGCTGGACTCCTAGGGCAGACCACATCTACTAAGCCCCCACGCCTAGGTCAGGGCTTCGGCTTGAGAGAACACGTGACACGGTGCGGCCAATGGGGACGTGGCAGAAGTTCCGCCCCTGGCGGCGGCAGATGCGAATTATGGACCCTCCGGGCTGCCCTCCGCGGTGGGCTCGGGCTCTCTCGCGAGACTCACGGCCGCCCCGCCGCCGCCTTCAGCCCCGGGATCCGGCCACTGGGGGCCGCCGTGGCGGAGGATGGGTCCCCATGCGGCACGTGGAGGGCGGGAGCCGGGGAGAGGAGCCCGAAGATGCAGACTCGGAAGGAGAGGAGGAGGGGCACGAGGAGGAAGAGGCGCTGCTGGGCAGAGGGGCCCTGCTGCCGGCCGGGGC